GAAATATTTATTTTGGGAGACTAACTTTCTAACATCTGTTCTTGCCTCCCCGTGTTGCATGAATATCAATGACACGTGTTTCCTGTTACGTGCAAATATGAACTTCTCTGGCCGTGGATTAGAAGATTAAAAGGAAACGGAACGAAAACCATTTGTTTGAAAATGGTAGACTAAATTGATCTCTACATTTATGAATATAAATCTGACAAATTTATGAATGTAAATCTACGATATAGTCGTGTGACAGATCGAAACTGAAATCCTCAAAAATTCGCATTGCGGCACATGTTAGCGTACCTGTCCGGTCGATGTTCGTGTTCATGGGAATACACTAGCATGTGGTTTTTATCTATGGCCATATGGCGTATCGGGAAACGCACGTGCGGAAGAGGAGAATCCCATGCAAACTCTGCTTTTTTTTTCCTTCTTTTATATACCATCGCCAATGAAAAATTCGTCACGTTCAAGCGACTCGATGATTCGATTTCATTTCCTTCGTCTCATTTCCACTTTTTCCACGTCTCGTACTTGAAATTACAGAATCAACAACATCACGCTCGCGACAAAAGTATTTCTTTCTCCAAAGGTTAACTATACGTTCCCAACCCTCTTGTCCCGCGGACGTTTTAAGAACGGGCGCACTCTCTGCTCGACAATCTTGGCAGATTCTCTCCTCGAAGGCGAGAAAATTCTGTTTCCTAACGTAATGCTTTATCGATGTTACGATATACAAAGTATATCGACGCAACGTTTTATCGTGAAGGCAAACATGGAATATAGATAAGTGGCAGCTCGTTCCTCCGAGTTTAGCTTCATCCAGGCACAAGTGCGCCTTTCTTCCTTTCTTCTCTCGTTCCTGCCAACGTCTTCTCGTTCCCTTCACCTTTCACGCCGCTCCTTTCTTCGTGCACCTGTGCTCACACACGTTGCCACGATGTACATTGAGCGCTGCGTGATCGTGGCACGCATGCACGCTCGTGAAAAGGTCGACGGAAATAAAATAGTCGTGTTGTAGCCTACTACCTTTCGTACACGCCGATCAAGGCTGCCCGAACGTTATTTTCGTCGTCATTTTGCGAAACGAACCCCCGTGCAAATAAACTCACGGGGGTGAGTTTCGTACGATACTCGCCGTTTCCTTGCAGTCGCGATCGCGAAAAAAAAATCGACGGTCGCGTCTTGTTTCTGCAATTGAACTGCTGGTCGAGTAGCTCAAACTTTCTTTCTCGGAGGATCTTCTGTTCGAAAGTTAAGTTGACTCGTCTTGTCATCTGCGGTTCGTTGTTCACTTAAATTTATAATGTAAATAATTATAATAATTATAATATGATTAATTATAAAAATTGTAATTGTTATAGTAACATAATATAATAATATGATATAATGATATAATTAAATAATTATTATTATTAAAATAATTATAATAATATTATATATAATATTATATATAATAATTATATATTATATATATTATACCCTTATTATAAATAATACTAAACTATTATATATTATATATAATAATTATACAATTAATATTATAATACAATAATTATTATTAAATTATTATTAATTATAATGATATTATAATACAATTAAATAATAATAATAATTAAAATAATTATAATAATATTATAATACAATTAAATAACAATTATTATTAAATTATTATTAATTATAATTATATTATAATATAATTAAATAATAATAATTATAATTATATTATAATATAATTAAATAATAATAATTATAATAATATAATATAACAAGAAAAATTGTTTTCGCACAATTTGTAACCATAACGAACTTCAGAGCGTGATGGAATCTTTTTGCTATTTAGTTGATCACTTAGTTCGGCAAAAGTTTAACGAACTCTCCTATTGTAAGCTGAGATATTTTATTTCCTAGCTCGTTAGTCAAAACAGAAGAGGAAAACACGAAAACGCGAGTGCGGCTGCCAATTTTCTTCGTTTATTATTGTAGCGACAAATATATAGTTTAAAAATATTCAGCCATTTTAGCTACTTTGCTCTCGCGTTCCTTCTTAATTAAACGATCAATGCATCGGCAATTTTGATAAAAATAAAACAACATTTGTCCACTTTATTTTTAGCCGAACGGCTCGGTTTGATACGGTTTAATTTGGTTGACATTTCAACGTACTTGAAACTCGCACGTGAATACTACGAGTGATGTAATAACACCTTTCTTTGATCGCTGAGCCAAATATTAATGAGCATTGTTACGCACGCGAAATGTGCGATTGTCAATTATTAGGTCTCTGCTTACCTCGGATAACAATGTTTCGAAAACGTAACAGAGCATATCAAAAAATATACATTTTCGTTTAATTGACTATCGCCGACCACCTTGCCCTTTACCTGCAAATTAAATTTAATTTTAACAAACGTTGTAACAACGAAAGCAAAGCTCGCACAGTGATACATTTCAACGGTTTCTATTTTCACGGCCTCCTTTTTTTTTTTAAACATCGAATATCAATACCGTTCTATTCTTCCGTCAATTGACTTTCCAATTCGCACCGCGTCCGGTATAATTCATGCCATAAATTTTCAACTGGATTTAAATTAGGTTATTGTGAAGGGAAATTACTATTCAACGTCGTGGCGCAAGCGTACAGCACCTAAGGATAGCGGTGAAAGAAAGAGAGAGAGAAAAAAAGGAAGAGAACAAGTTTTCAAATCTTGTTGCAAATTTGTACGTACGAACAAGTATTTGTACGAATCAGTCACTTTCCCTTCTTTGAGATTTCTATAGCGTCAATCAATTTTGTTGTTTTATCCGTTCATTATTATTATTATTTTTTTTTTTCGTTACTTATCCCTACATAATATTAGATATATTAATGATTATTATTGTTATTTCGGTGCGACTTATTTAAGCTTTAAGCTTTCATCTGAAATAAAGAATAAATAATTATGTTTAATGTTACTTAAGTATATTTAATATTATTTATTATTACTTACTGTTATGATACTTATAATCATTATTATATTTATAATATTATAAATATATAATATTAATGTTATTATATAAATATATTATAATTATGATATATAATATTTATATTATTATATATCATAATTATATTATACTTATATATACTATAAATATTATATATCATAATTATTTATAATATAATCCTATACATCATAATTATATTATACTTATATATATATTATAAATATTATATATCATAATTATTTATAATATAATACTTATTACTTGCTATTTATAATTTATTATTACTTAAGTATATTTAATATTATAACAAATGAAGTATATTTAATATTACTTTTCAAAGTATACTGTTGTTATAAAGCAAATATGTGTTGTGGAAAGCAAATATATACGTATCGCGTTACATCGGCTTTAAATCGTTGAACAATAGCGAATAATAATCGTTCGCTGTGTTCGAAGAAAATTTGAATTTCTAAAGTACACCTCATTTTCATTTCACCTGATTCCGTTTTTTTTTTCTTTTTTTTTTTTTTTGCGTTAACTGAAAGTACCAAGTGAGACAGGAATATTTTTTCCTCTTCGTACATTAATCTAAAACTGATAGTTTTTGAAATAATTCGTCTGTTTCATCCGTGATCTGTCAGAAGTCCTGTCAGATAAATAAAACAACATCAAACGACAGGGTCAAACAGCCGGCCTCCCCCCAAAAGTCTCGCCGGCTCATCAACTTCTCGTTACCGCGAGAAGAAGATGGAAAATCTCCGCCGAAAGATCTGTAAACGTTGGAAGCCCAGTTCGGTTTCGCGGTGAACTTTTCTCGGTCGTGTCTCAGCAGATGTACGACCATTTGCCGTGGCAGCTGCACTCCTCACCACCGTAAACTTGGGAGCACCAGCACCCCGGATCTTCGTCCGAGCCGACCCCACTCTGACGATTTTCTAGCTAGTCTCTTCAAATATCATCGTCAACTTTCTACTTGGAATTTATTCGTCGAAAATTTCGTACGAAATTTGGCGATACTCTCAATAACTTTCACGGCGAAATTAATTCGTCGAAGCCTCGTCGACGCGAGCCACGAGCACTTGAAATGTTGAAATCTCGCGGCAAACCGGTTCCTCGTAACCGCGAATTTAAGTTGCTGGGATGTAGAGAAACAGAGGTGGTGAAAATAATTGGCACGGTCCTGGTTTGTTTCGGAGTAGGGGAAAAGGTACCTACGTAGGTTCGAGTGGGACATTCATGGTTTGACGATGGAGTGGGGGTTGACTCGTGCTCGTACGTACACGGACGGAAAACAGGGGCGAAAGCGCTAAAGTTGCTTCAGTTTCAACATTTTTCCTTGATTAAAATTTCTATGCATCGGACACAATTTGTATATCGTTCGATATACCTTGAGCTCTACGCTTTACGTTAATTTTCTAAGACCATGGGAATTTACGTTTAGACTTTGGATATTGGAAATAAACAGCCTCTAAAAATTTTATTAAGAACGATGCTAGTTTAGTAAACTTTACGTTTGGATATTAGATATGAAAACAAATAACCTTTAAAAATTTTATTAAGAACGATACCATTCTCAGTAAATTTGCAATAATTTAGTAAACTTCCATTTCTTTAATTTCGCCCAGAAATGAGAAAGATCGAGAAAAAACTCCCCTTTTGTTAAACGTTAATAAAAATAAGCAGCGATTAGTTACTTAGTAAAAATAAATATGGATACCTATATACTACTTAGAGAAGCTTAGTTGAAAAACATTCATTTGAAAAACGTGAATTCTTCCTCGAACTCGGCATTTTTTGCTATTCAATTTTCCCCCTCTCTTGCTATACTAAATTTTCCTCAAACTCTAGTGCACAGTTCTAAAGTTTCAATTTGAAAAAACGAAACGAATTTAAAATCTCTGAAGAACACGTCTGAGAAAGACGCAGGGCACCGAGGGGATCAAGTACGGCACTGGCGCGCCGTAGGACCCGGGTAGAGAGACATGGGCCCGTTTGAACTACGGCATTCGCGTCCCGAGTCTTTCTGGGGGGGGTTGTTGCACGTCTCGTGCGCCAGAGTACCGGAAGATCTTACGCATGTATCTTCATCGTGTCGCGAGCTTTTCCATCGCCTCATCGTGCTTTTCAGTGAAAGTGAAACGTCTCATCGTACCCGCGTTGCGATAAAAGTGTCGCCGGCCTCCCAGACGTTTCTTTTTTCCCCCCTTCCTCGCCCGATGAAGTGATGAAAACGGAGCTCTAGCTGCTCGCAAGCATGATACCTTCACCAGGTGGCGCGGTGGTTCTTCGAATAAAAAACGACCGTTTACCTCGTTAACGTAACGAAACGCGTGCGAGCGACCGAGAATAATCCAAATCCACGATTCACGAGGATTCGAGAAGTCAAAGAAGAACAAGAAAAAAAAGAATCGTCGTGCGTTTTCTCGAGATCTTTGCCAGAAAGTGGGGACAAGTTTGAACGATCGTTGCTGGGAACAAATATAGAACACGTTCCTACGGATTTGCTTACGATTTATCCCTACGGATGATGATCGGCCCGTCGATGCGACAGATCGAGAACGTACGCTGCAGTTCCGGTGGGGTCGCCGGAAGTAGCTGAGCGTGACGGCGGCAGTTCTAACGGAAAAACGTGGGAACTTGTGCTGCGGCTCTACTCCTCATTAGCTAACCTAGGCGCGTGTTAAACCACGATCATCTCGTCTAAACGTCTAAAACGAAATAACGGACAAACGTTCTCTCTTTCGTCCTCTAGAAACAGAAACAGAAGACAGAGGAAACTTGATAGACAGGGTATATTCTATATCGTAAGTCTAATCGATGCTTGAATCGAGGTCGAGGATAATCGAGTTGAACAATCGACAAACGATCCTATCTCTCTCTCTCTCTTTCTCTTTTTTCTCCCCTCTTTTTTCTCTCGTTGTAATTGAAATATCTAAGCGACGAGTTGAAACTAAAAAAGAAACAAGATATCCAAACGTTCTTTCGGGTATCAGTCGACCGAATTTTTGACGCTCGCGAGGAAACAGATTTTCATCGGAGTAACGGTTTCCTTTCGACGGTTTGCGGTCGAAAGGCTTTTCGTTTCGTTCGAAGGCTCTGAGGGGGGAGGGGAGAAAACGTTCTCTCTTAATCCTGTCTTGTGACAGTGCTCGACCAAGCGATGAAATTTGCACCCTGTACGAGCTACTTGCTTCACCTTTCGCGAGAAGGAGCTCGTAATTGAGAGGAGTATACAGAAGAACAAATAGAGTCAAGTATCTGTTGAAGACACCAGAAATGTAGCAAAGGTGGAGTGTTGGTTCAGTACAATGTTCCTGGGGCGATTCAGAAACTTGTCTCTCTGCCCGCGAACGACTCGGTGGGACGCGAACTCGACCGAACCGCGTGTGAATAATCGTGAAATCAGGTATTCGTCATCGATTAAAAATAACGAGCCACGGAGGGAGGACACGGCGACGAGGAATTGAAAAAAACCGGCGTCCATCGCGCGGACAGCGAATGATACAACAGGATACACAGTCGCTCCCCACACTGGTCTATTCGTAAGGTAGGACGTAGAGACAAGAGAGACGACCGAGAGAGAGTGAGTCGCGATCCCACTCTCGGTAGAGTTCATGACGTCAACCTCGGAGGCTAAGTTGTACGACCAGTTTGAACAGCTAGCTCGCGGCAAGAAGGGAAGAAAAAGAAGAAGAAGAAGAAGAAGAAGAGGCGTCGTCAGTGGTCCTTTTCGCCTGTTCCTCGAATCCGTCCCCCGATACGTCGACGTTTCTGCCGGTTGTAGCCCTTGACGCCATGGCTATTCGAAAACTAATCGAAAGGCAAGCTCTCGCCTTCAATTTTCATTGAGGTTTGTCGATGAAACTTGCGTCTGCCTGGGACTAGCGGTGACGAAAGAAGTATACACCTGGTGATAAGCAGAGAGGTGCGCGAAGTTGTGCAGCGTCTGCTCGCGATGGAACTCGGTCGTTCGGTGACGGTGCCTTGGTCGATCGGGAAGCCCCCACGGTTATCCGCCTTCTCAGTGCTACACCTTTGCTCGAACGCCACGGTGTCTCATCCAATCGAGCAAATTCACGGTAGCTCGATCGAGTAACAGTTTCGCGACAGTGGGAAAACGATATTTTGTCAAATTCTGAGATCAAGCAAAATCGTGAATTGGCAGCTCCTTGTTTATCGTAATTCATTAATCAAAGTCGTAGTCTTTCCACTACTGTACGTCAAAATACACCAGAGAAGTTTCGTGCATTGATGAAAAAGTGATAAATCTGCTCCTTTTTTGAGATCAAAGAAACAAAGTCACTGTTACTCGCGAAATTCTAAAAAATTCTCGAAAATAGCTTCGTTCAAATCGAGTATGTTTTATGATTGAGTCATAGGTGATTTGATTGATGATATTGTGATAGTTTGACAAAAGAATTTCCAATGAAAAGAATCGCAACAGTGCGAAAGAAAGTGCACGGAGGAGAGATCGAACGACGATAGAAGAGGAGACGTAAAGGAAGGAAAGAAGTGCACGGTTATACGTTCGATGATATCGTTAGTGTGTGCACGGTGCACGGAGGGAAACAACCAAGCGACGAAACGCGGGACGTTGTGTTTGGATACTCGGCGTGGCCGCTACTGCGCGTCGTGAAAACATTGTGAGGCCCTGAAGGAGAAATGGGAAACCATCCATCCGCCCACCAACCGCTCGAGAGAGCTACCAGCTACGCTGGGAATGGTCTTCGCCTCTCGGTACGTTTTGCGATCTTGTTTTACGTCAACGATAACTCTCCGCAGATGCCCACGTGTGACGTGCACGCCCCTCTTGATGCAATATCGTTAAATGGAGCGTATACACGTTGTTTCGCGTTTGTGTTACGTGTTTCTCCGTACCGACGGAGTCGTTTGCCCTTTGAAGCCTACCCCTCCGATATCGAAGGACCTTTCGGTCTTTCGGTTCGGCCTCTCTCGCCTCTGTCGATGCAAAATTTGACAAACTACCGCAAATGAGATCGATCTCGCGCACTTTCGCCGGTCGAGAATAGGGGGTCCGTGTAATATTAGAATTGGAGAAGGGAATGGGGTGAATGTAATACCGACGTGCGGTAACATCGATTCACCGAATGAAAAGGATAAAAACAACCGCTTGGTTAACGTGTGGAAACTACTTTTATAAATTTTGAAGGCTTTCAATTGTAAAATTAGTAATTTTGGTTGTTTGCAAAAGTTTTATAATCGAGTATTAACATTTAGAATGTTTAGATATAGTATTTGTAAATAAATAGAATGATAAATTTATTTTAATTAAAATTTAGGCCTTTAACTAGAGAAGAAGTTATTTTCGAAAAAAAGATCTAAAGGAGGAACGTTCCATTTTCACTCTCCGTTTTCGTTTCTAAAAATAATCGACAGGCAACTTTCGATAAAACTGTTCGAAGCAAGGCTTCGAACTCTGTTGTTCGTTCGAGAAAAACAATTTCTATAAAATATCGCTCCCTGTTGTTTCGAGTCGATACTTTACTATATTAGTGTCATTTATCGTCTTCGTCGTGGACAGATAAATGTTTCGTGGACTGGATCCAAACTGGTCCTGGAAAGGTCACGATGAAGGTCGCATGCGTTCCACTTTGTCTTTTCAGATTTCAGATCCGACGTAATAAATTTAAAAAATGGTCGTTTCGACCTCATTTTCGTCTAGCATTAACCTACCTATCATGTAACAATTGCGACTATATGTTTTTTTTTAGCAAACCAAATGACAAATATATACAAACATAAACGAGATTAGAAAATCTTTAAAGATACGATCATTCAAACTTGAACGCGACGCGAAGAGTTGATAGCTTTTGCTCAATATTACTAAATGTATGATAAATATAAATAATATTAATAATACTAAATTAGAACATCACGTAATCGATGCGTGCTGTGCTGCTGCGTCCTTAAAACTGTGACAAAGATTCTTATCTACATTGCGATTGTTCGTGTTTTGTCAGGTATACATATGTTATTTTCACGTATGTAATGAAAACAGCGCTGTTAGATCAAACACACGGATAAAATTTTTACCTCAAACATTAAACATTAGAGAAATTTATGGTGGTCTGAAAGACTGAATGATATAAAACAAAAATAACTTTTACAAACACATGTTTTTTTAAATTTTTTATTATTTTATTTGAAAATACAATTAATAATTAATGGAAACAAATTTTTTTCTATAACCTACAAAAGAAGAAAATGAACAAGTTATGGCTTTTTCAAACCCTTCAGTTTTTCAGTGGCCACCTTATATAATAAATATTCTTCGTACTGTTCCAGTGAACAGTAGTTCTCTTTTTTAAAAGTAAGAAATACGATAAGCTTGCCTTTGAAAATTGGTACCGTACCGGGTAACAAAGAAAAAAATAATACTCGCGATTAAAATAATTTTTATTGTTCTCCGATGCGCGCGGCATTTCAAATTACAAGTTGCGCAGTTTCAGGAATATCTATGAGTAATCTTTTCGCGTTTAATCGGGACAGCTCCGCTCCGGAGATTTCTTACCGACACACACGTTTTTCCAATGAATTCTCCTCCGAGGACTTTCAGTCGACTGCACAAAAGGCTTTTGCATAATACGCTCGACGTTACGCAGAAGTCGCAGGCTATCCATCTCGTTAGAAAAATAAATTTTCAGTCACATTCGTTACAGAAAATTCGCGTAAAAAAGACGAACCTCGAAATATTTGTCGAAAGATCGAAAGATTTCGGGGAACTTTTTTCGTTCGTTAGATCATCTCGCGAAGCGAGATACTGATTGTAAGACGGTTCTATTTCAAAACTGTGAAACTCGAACAACGCCGAATGTGAAATTTCGTCATCCCCTTCCCCTCGTTGGAGAAAAGCGCGAAACTTTCGATGTTCGTTTCAAATGAAATCGCATTGCATAATGCTGTTAACGAACGCTGCCGTTTTCAGGATTTCTTGTTCAAGGTCGCGCGGTTCGCGTTACTAATTGTCATTCGCGTAACGAGGCTCGCCTCGCGGTTGATAAACGCGATCCTTGAAAGAGAAAGCATCGAGTCGTCCGTGACATCCAGGTCGATTGTTTCTAACCAGCTTAACCTTTTGCGCTGGAATGACGTGCCACGCACGTCGAGAATTTTTTGTCCCAAATTGCAACAGTTTCTCAGTTTTTAAGTATATTTAAATGTAATCCAGGCAAAACAAATGATAAGTTTATTACTTCTTAATAATTTCTATTCAGTAATATAGTCATACCGACGAGTTCAAAAGGAAAAGAAAGCGACGAATTATTGTGTACTCGGTCACTCGTTATGGTCCGCAATCAGTTGCCAGCGCAAGTGGTTAAGGATACTTATAAGTATTGTCGTTTTCTGACACTGTAGGAAATTTTATTTTATTTAAAAGTTAATACAGCTTTAATTTGTAATATAATTTAACAACAAACACACTAAATGTCAATGTATTTAACTAGAATATAGGCATAATATAGGTTATGTTATAACATATATATTATGGCATAACATGTTATAATAAGTAAAATTATATATTTAAGTAAAACAAAATAGGCAAAACAAATAATAAATTTTAATAACTACTTTTCAATAATTTCTAACCGGTGATATCGTACCGTCGAGTTCAAAAAGAAAGCGACAAATTATTGTGTACAGTTCGGCCATTCGTTATGGTCCGCAATCAATTGTCAGCGCAAGTGGTTAAGGATACCTACAAGTATTGTCGTTTTCTGACACTAGAAAATTTTACTTTCTTTAAAAGTCAATACAGCTTTAATCTGTAGTAAATACACTATAACAATAAATACACTAAATGTTAATGTATTTAACTAGAATATAGGTTATAACACATTATATATTATATATTATAGCATAATATATAATAAGTAAAATTATAAATTAAGTAAAACAAAATAGGCAAAGCAAATAATAAATTTATTACTTCTCAATCATTTCTATCCAGTGATGATATTGTACTGACGAGTTTAAAAAGAAAGCGATAAATTATTGTATACGATTCGGTCAATCGTTATGGTCCGCAATCAATTGCCAACGCAAGGGGTTAAAAGGACCTTTTAAGCTTCTTTAAATTTCGGAACTTTCGAAACTTTGCTCAAGGAAAATTCGAGGAAAACTCAAGGATGACGTCAATCTTCGATCTTCCACTTTTTCAACTCAGATACTTCTCATATTGTTAATTTGTTTCCCGCGAATTCGTCGAAGCTTTAGCAAGAATTCTACGAAAGAATTGTATTTCCTCTTTGCAAGTAATGTTCGTTCAGTTATCTTTTTCGAAAGAAATTTATCGTTTCCATGAGATGGCTGTGTTTTTTTCGCCGATTTCTTCCGTTGTAAAATGTTAAAGTATTCTTTTTTATCTTTTCGATCTTGTTGGAATTTAATTCCGCTAAAGGTGAAGAGCGAACCATTACTCGAAAACGTTACTCCCACGTAGCCGACGAATTGCTTCCCCAAACGAACATAGCCTTTGGATATAGAACGGACTGGGTGCTTTTGACAATTTCCTTTTATCGCAGAAAATGAATTGAAACGAATGAAATTTTAATTAAAATTAAATACGAATTGGAATATCTCGCACAGATATTTATTACGTAAAATAATATAAAACGGAAGAAAAGACTCTTTTCGAAACTTGTGAAAAATATATAATTGTATTGTTTGTGATTCGAAATATATATCCATATTTCTCTGTAAAACGTCCATTAAAGAAATCGGCATTGCTCGACGATTTTGAAGCAGTCAACCGAAACTTTTAAACGTGACTGAAAGTTTTACGTAACGAAAGTGGAAGAGGGAAGCCTTTCGAGATGAATGGAAAAACTTATCAACGGAGGAAGTGAAATCTCAATAGCAACACTCGAGAAAGATTTGAAGTCGAGGGATACTTTGGCCCGCGACCTTTTTGCGTTGAAAACGCAACTCCTTGGCTTCCGGTAATACTTGGCCTCTCTCGAGCCACATCTCGAAAGTGCAGCCTCGCTTTCATTCGATTGCGTCTCGATGACGCGATACGTAATCATTTCGAGGGCACAATTTCAAATGTTACTGTAATCAGACTCGTGATAACCGCGTGACCTCCGTCGAACGTCATAGTTTTTTTTTTTTTTTTTAACTAATTTTCTCGAAAGATCTCACGTACGTTAACGAAATATATTGCTCATGATAAACATTGATAAGAAGAGGTAGAGAGGAGACATTTTGGAAAGGCATGACATATGATTTATGTTAATCCCTGTTAGTTTCCAATCTGCTGAGGAATAGTTGTTGAATGATTAGTGGCAGAAACCGAGTAGGAGATGAAAAAAATGAGTCGAGAAAGAAGGAACAAAATCTTTCCGTTGAAACTTTCGTTTTTTAAGAAAATTTCGAGTTTGAAAGTTTATCGAGTGTACTTAGATTTTGGTGATTCCGTACTGGACCGATTACGTGTATAAAAAGAAAACAAGTGAAAAATGTGGAACAAAATTTTTTCGTCCTTAAGAAAGTAGCATGCAATTGATAAATTTTCAAGTATATTTCGATTTCCTCGAAAACAAAAGAAGTTTATTCCACATTTTCAACTTACTTTTGCATAGATAGAATAACCTTCAGTTAATTACTCTTTTCTATCGCGTCTAGAATTAGCTAATTGTAAATTCAAGTACAGTGTTCGTAAATTTTCAAACTCGATTCTGTCGAAAACTTTAACGGAAAAATATTATTTCTTTCTT